CGGTATTTCATAAATTTGAAAAAGATCTCTTAAATTAGCCGTTTAAGCGTAGATTTATCAAGCCTTAACCAACCAAACTTTCGAACCAGGAGAGCTAGTTATCCTACATTCTATTTCACCTGGAGCGTGGCTTTCATTTTCCAATTTATTTCTTTTCAATTCGCTTTCCAATTAGTAGTTATTTATTCCTAGTACGATACGTTTACCATGTAAAATCAATTAAAATAAATTAAACGTTCTTATTCGTTGCAAGGGCGGATCCAGGGGGGCGTAAGCTCCCCTTCAGCAGAAAAAAAAACAACAAACAAAACAAAACTGAAGAATTAGATGCTTTTTTTTTATTGTTTTCCATTGTGTTGACGGAAGAAACTCAATTAGCCCCCCCCCCCCCCTAAAATTTTGGCTGGATCCGCGCTTGTGTTGTCTTCTATTTTTGTTGTAATTTCTTTACATAATTTATAATTTGATTCTTCTTATTATTATTATTTGATTTTTTAAAACATTAATGATAAAAGGGTAAATTTTACACCATGAAAAGATGAAAAAACTTGTGGCGTTTCGGACGCTAGTCCTTCGTCGGAGTAAAAGCTAGAGAGAGAGGTTATAGAAAGAAGTGTTTATATAACATTAGAAACACCGACGCAGCTCACACTAGTTTTAAGCTAGTTATCTCTTCTGTTTAAATATTAGCTGACTTTTTATTTTATTTTTTTCTGAATTATTTTTGTTTAGTTTTTCAACAGCAACAGACAGAAGTTGTAACTATTTTCTTGGTCAGTAGTTATTTGTTTTGTTTTTTCGCCTTTTTAATTTTTTATTCCGGAGATTTTTTGTTTTTGTCTTATATGTAGAAGCCGTTAAATGAAGAAATATCAATTTCGAAAGTTATGCGAGAAGAACCTATCCAACGGCTGTAGCTACAGTCAGGGCCTTAAAGAAAAATCAGGGTAAAAAGCAGACACGCAAAAAATTAGGTTTCGTAAAAATATTCCAGACAAGGAAATCATCCTTTGTGGGGAGTTTCCGATTGCTCATACGAGTTATATAACGTAACTAGCTTTGTAATGAGAATCGAAATAAAAAACCGCAATACGACATCAGAAGAGATAAACATTGGTTTCTCAAAAGCCATTGTGATTTTGCTTCTTGCTTCCGTGAAAGAATAGGCAACGTAACTCATAGTTATAGTAGACATTTTAAAATTTCATTGTTTTCTTTTGTTTTCCTTGACTGTTAGCAAACAATTATACGATTCTATTTCATGGCCCAAATAAAAGCACTCTAACTGACTAATTTATAGATTGGCACTGAAGAATTATTGCAAATAAAAGGTCGTTAGGTCGTTTAAGATTATATCCACATCGACCGGTCGATCCAAACTGGTTTTTGGTCCATGTGTATTTTACAAATCAGCTCGACAGAAATTGTTTACTTTACTGAATTTTTTAGGTGATTTTGTTGATAATTTTATTCCTGTATTGCAGTCGTTCAGAAATGGTTTTCAACAGTTCGATCGAGTCAGCAGTGGTTGCTTAAGAAAAGAAAAAACGTGGGTGTTACTGTAGCAGCACGGCAGAAGGGCTAGGCTTTCCTCCACGAGTTTCACTTCCTATTCACAAGTACTAAAAGGCACCACTGCTTCCAAGCGCACACATCCGGTCGGCCTCTTAGAGTCTTTCATTTGTGAATGGTAAAACTTCCTACTAAAGTTAAATGAAGTGTATTATATTTAACAAATTTGGGGTTTTAATGGTGATTTGTAGTACCATGGTGGTTTCTTGAAACACTATATGCGTTCTGATTGGCTCAAACTTTATTGATTCTTAGTTATTATTTGTGGCGTTCGCGTGATGGAGACATGCATGGCCAGCTCAGGAAGGCGACAGATCTGAAGATGTTGTTTTTACTAAAGACACAGACACTCCTTAATATTTTCAAATTCTTCACAATTTAGTAAAGTCATGTCCAATTGCCGAGGGGGAGCAAAACAGGTGAACTTGAGATACTCGCGACCTGGTTTGGTTTCTCGTGCAACGCCGCGACCAGACTAAACACCCGATAAAACAGGATAATTATACTACTGCTTCTGCACAAGTTTGTTCGTTGATGGGAATCAAATATTCTATTTTAAGAAAAATCAGAAACTCAACTTTTGTTGAATAAAATATTGTAGGGATTTTGAAAGATTTCCGTGAAATATGAAACCTCAACTCCGCCTACATTAAGCATTTCCATATAAGCAAGTACGGATTTTCCTTCCTATCTATTTCAGAAATTTAATATGGGACTTCCAACTTTCTTGTTTTTAAGACCTGTTGCTTACAAAAGCCCAACAGAATTACTTTCTCCTTTTACAAAGAGTTTGTAAAAGAATTGTTCAATGTAGATATGATATTGTTATAGTTAGACAATAAAGATTATCGATAATTCCCAGGAAATGTGTTGCATTGAGCGTATCTTCGATCTCATTTTAATTCTGAACTATTCACAAACATACACTAAAAGTATCAGATCAAAACTGCCATGTTGGAAAAGAAATTGAAATTCAATTTTGTGTTTTTAAATTGTCAGTTCAAACGACAGCTGACGTTTTTTGATTATTTATTTTTTAACAGAACAAAGGTTTCTGTCAAGCATCATTTATCTTCGATCTTGGAGTTCGAGAGGAAAGAAAGAGAGATTTATGTAAAAGTGTGCATATATATAGCACATTGCAACTTATTATTCCTAACGACAGAATCCGATAATTTTTTCGAGGGTTTTTGGTTTGTTTATTTTGAGCGGAATTTCGAGGACACCCAACCATCTGCGCCATTACTTCGTGACCGACTTACTGACTACATTGTTAATAATTGAAGAGTTCGTTTGTGCCCTCGAGCGTCGGCGAAATTTCCAATCAAAAAAGTTTCAAAACAAATCTTTATTTGGTTTTTGTGGCTGAAAGAAGATAAACAATCGTAGAGTTCTTCCCCGATTTGTAAAGAATAGATTGGCTCTTATTTTGATAATGATTTGCTAATGAGCTAAAGACGTCAATACGTGGATGGTGTTCAGTAAGGCATAGCAGTCTTATTTACTCGACAATACAGTAGAATGTCTCCAAAGAAAGCGGTTTCTCGAGCTGATACCAACTTTTCTACTGTTAACTCTGGTTTGATACTTTTAGAGACACGAAGGTATTCGTTAATGTGCGCAGACATGACGTACAAAAGACAGCAAACATTTGCATTGAAATGCCACAAAGATATCGTTTTTTAATACAATGTTTAAATAAAGTAGTTAAAAAAGAAGAAAAGATACAACTAAAGAGGTTTATCTTATTGTTTCAGGACAAAAACCAGTTGAAAGAGCTACCGGTTTATCTCTTGAAAACACGGATAGACAAATCCTCATATAATACCATATCGACAAAGCAGCCATTATACGTGCGAGTTAGGAACTATTCATTTAATTACCTAATTTGATTTTTTTGTAACAAAGACATGAGGTGTCGTAGTCAAGTGTTTATGACGACCTAAATAAGCCCTGGAGCTTCGCTATCTATGGTATTGTTCCAAAACAACGCTGTTTCCTAAGGCCCAGCAAGTGCGAGTGTTTAGTATGTCTATGGGCATATGTCAGACCGCTCAACTCTATTCACCTCGGAACACCAATTCTCAAGAATTACCCCACATTTGTATCGCAGGTGGACGAAGAATGATTGATAAACGCGAAAAGCTTTTATGTATTCAAGGTTTTGACTAATTTTCATCCAGTATAGCCCTTATTGAGTTGAGTTTTCTAATTGGTATAAGTCTAAGCGTGAGCACTTATTATCTAAACAAGAGAGTAAGATTTGTCAAGGACGTCCACCAATTCACATGTTGATAATGTGTAGAGATGTGTTTTAATAAAACACTATGGTTGCTTTGAAGAGGGTTTTGTTGCTATTCAACCCTCTACAAAGAGATAATTTGACAACTACTCACCACAATCCTTCCCATTTGAGGTGAGCTGTCTGTACTTCAAACCCCTAACTAATATCTTCTCGCTTTTGCTTGAAACTTCAAAAACAAAAAATAAAACCAAAAGCAAAAATAGAAAAAGTGAATAAACTTTCACTGGCTTCGAGATTCATATCATTTTACTGAACTTTACAGAAAAAAAATATTACGAGGACACAAATGAGTATAATGTTCACCCCTTTAGGGGGAAAAAAATTGTTTTGATAACTGGTTGCAGATTTAAAAAAAACGTTTACAAACTTTTTTTATTTCATTTTTAGCACCCACAATTATTCTTTCTTTGCGTCTTCTCTTTTTGCAATTTAATTATTAGAACTAAAAAACATTAAAATAAGTTTTGAAAACAACTGTGTCATGTAGCGTTTTTTGCAGTCTTATTGTCGTGTCCTAACAGGATACAGGCTATGAACGATTCATTCTTTCTGTTTCAAAAATAAAAAAAGATAAATTTAGACACGAGATCAGGGCCATACTGCGATCACACAAACCACTTATTTGATGTTTTCTTTGTGTTCGCTGTATTAAAACAAAGGGAAAAAGTATTATAAAAACGCGAGCAAAAAATTCGTACCTAAACTCCCTTGGTTTTACTCTGGATTTGTTTCAAACAGTTTGTTGTAATAAAGTTGAAGAAGTTTGAGGTGGAACTTAGAAGAAAGATAGTTGCTTTTTTTGTTGTTTTTCAAATCCGATCGATAAATCATTCTTTTACAGCTCACTAGACCAAAGCGCATTTTCTAAATGGGTGAGCTTAAGGTCATTGCTAATTCCGCCACAACTCGTGCCCTTTGTAGAACTCTTTTCTTCACTTATTGTTTGAAAATTTATAGACAAATAGACGAGTCTTGTAAAGCTTTTGCAAGATATTGTTAGCTTTTGACACGATTTGCAATGGTACGTTGTCTAGTGATCAGAGTTGTTTATCGATGTGGGTCGGAGCGCACCCATGTTGTTTGCGCGCGCGATATTTTCCCAATGATTTAAATAAAATAGTCATTGACTTCCATGTATTTTTATTGTTTTCTTTGTCGGTAATAAATGTACAGTTTTACCGTTCTGAAAGAATCTTTACAATAAAATAGAATAAGAGTTTACGCTATATTTCCCACGTTTGTGTCTGTAAGTGACCACAGGTATTTGGTTGTCCAAAAATTTTCACATGAAATATTAACAGATCCATTGATTTAGCTTGGCTTGGTTTTGACGTTTGCGAATAATTTTAAAAACTCTCAAAGTAAGTATAAGTTACGAAAGAATTTGCTAAACTAAACTAAGCTAAGTCAAACTGAAATCTTAAAAGAGAAGCTTGACGGTTGGAGGAAGCTGACAAAAGAAATCGAAAGGAAGTGCCAAATAAGATGCCAAAAAAACACAAAGCAAAAATAAAAGAAGTCGACTGAATTGTAATATTCATATATTTTGTAGAATCTTGTAGACGATAAACCAAGAAGTTTAGGATAAGAGAAGAAGCATTTTTTTAATAGTCTATAGCCGATAGGTGTTTAACGAGATTCACTATGACGTCAAGGATTGAAAATCCCCGAAAAATAAACAAAAGTTTTCAATTATGAATTAATTTTGGTAAATATTTAGAATCTAACATGTGTCAGGCAAAGGAAGTTTGTATTTTCATGTCAGCTTTTGATTCTCTCTTTGTTCTACAATATAAATATAATATCTATCTATGCATGCATGCTTGTCAAATCTATATTTCTTTTGAACTAGCTATAGATAACAGAGTTCGTTGTTTGTCAAATAAATGTGTGCTATCTTATCCTACGATTTTTTACAGTCGAGATAGCTAAACTCAACCGGAAACCAGCAAAACCGACTTCCAATTCTTTATTCCCCTCTAGAAGAACTTAATTTAAGCTCTTCTTAGATCATTAAAAAAGTACGAAAAAGTTTCAAAGCTTAGTAAATATTTCATGAATGAAAATGCCGACATTACTTAAATTTTCAATTCCTTGGATAATAATAAAAGCAACTATTTTCAAGAAAATCAGACAACAAAATAAATATATTTATCCTAAATTATACAATATATTCTTAGTAGTAAATTCCAATACGATAGCGACGGGTCTTTAGGGGAAAGGACTAAGCTTTTTTGAATACGGAGGTTTTTGGTTCATTTTCAAGGACATACAGTCGACTGAACTTACAAAACTTAAAATATAGTTCGTCACTGCAAGTTGAATTGAACGTCCCCAATTTTATGGCCTTTCTTTATGAAAGTTGTCAAAGTAACGACAAAAATCGTGTATTTTTATCGCTGTTTACATAGGTTACATGAATTTAAATGTGTCTTTGGTTTTTGTGCGGAAGAGCTTACGTTACAGCGATCGATATATATTGACTTGAGAAGACTTAGAGTTCTGCATTTTCATTTTATGGCATGGGGGTGGCGATCTTAGCTAGTACCTCCTTTCAACCTTGACCTCATGGATCTAAAAAACAAAAACACAGCAAAACAAACTTGTCAATAGTGTGTTTGAAAACGTAGTTTTATTTTACATCATAATATATTTTGGAAACATAGATATATGACATTTATATATTTTACTCTATAGTTTTGCACAAGCAGCTTTACATTAATTGTTGCATAAACTTTGAACTTTTCTACTACAATGTAAGTATGAATTATTAAGATATAGATAACTAACCCACACAGAGACGAAGACTAGAATATTCGAGAGTGAAAAGATTATCTAAAAATGGATTTCAAACGATAAGTTTGAACTTGTACTAATATGTACATCAAAAAACCATCTTTTTTTTGTATTTGTTTCTAACTAGTGGTTTCAACTAAATAGTGTAGTAATTTCATTAACAATTTTGACCTAAAACTTTGTCTTAGTTTGGAGATCAATATTTTATATTAATATTTAAATTACAAAAACTAAGAAAAAAGAAAGTAATATCAGGGATAGGATTCAAAATTTATTCCAACGTACGAAGTATCAAACCAAGGCGAAAGAGCTATATATTATGGTTTCCAATAATGTTGTTTACAATCTTACAAAACTTTGAAGCAATTCTTCCTCGCAGGTGGAATCCGTTTTCATTAAGTCGAAGAAAAAAAAAACTTTAGCGAGTTGTTTTTAGGACACTTGAGTTTAATATAAAGAGATCGTGTTCTCGATAAACTTCTCTTTTATGTACACTTTGGTTATGTCAGTGAAAGCGAAACCAATGTAAATAGCTARTGCAATCTCAAATTCTTATAACAAAGATAATTTTAGAAAAGATTTATTCAATGATTAGTATTAGTACCGAGTGACTTGCACTCCAAAACACCACGTGTCGATTTTCTGTTCAGAAAATATTTTTTTAAATACTCTTTACATTTCCGGCGTTGAAATGGAAATCATGTTGCTTGGTTAGTAATAATTATACCTTGGGTTACAATTTTAGATCTTTTTTTTAAGAATATGCAGTGGCACAAATGAATATTCGTTTGTGGCCATGCTTTGGGCATGTGGCCGTGAAGGGCCTAACAATCTTTCCACCCGTCCAAAACTAGTTCACGAGAGTACATTGCGTATAAGATTACTTCCCTAAAAATCGTTTTCAATGACTTCTAAGATGGCTGATGTTAAATTTGGGGAAAATTAATGATAAGTATGCTACATAAACACCCTTTTGATCATTCCGAAGACTCGTTATAATTATGCAGAATTGGATCCAAAATAAATACACCACGCTTAGGTCCAAAGCTATTTCCGTTCGAAAAACGGTCCACGATCACTGTCAGATACCAACAAAATTAACACTAAGTAAACAGTAGTATCAATGCTTGTGTAGCTGAGAGAGTTTTGGTCAGATATTTAGAAATTGTTTTGTTCAAAGTCTTGACGTAAACCACTTGTTTTATCGCATTAACTGAATTACAATCTTTGCATAACAATGAAGTATTGTGAATGTTAGTTTGAGGCCAAAGATTAAAGTATTGTTCCGTACAAGGGAACTACTATCGCTACGAACAATTCTAAGGGACTCAAAATATCTTGTTTAAACTTCAAATAGTTTTTTTCCTGAGGAAAAACGCTGTGCCAGAACACTGACAGTCTTTTTATAAACGTGCTTTCATTCGCAGCGAAAATGTGCATAAATTATCAAAGTCCAAGCATTGCGCTTTCGAGTTATATCTCGTTGAAACCGTCTCAGCTTTCTATTTCGCCTGTGGCTAGGACAAATTAGACAATGATCAAAACTCATAGCAAAACTAGTGATAGTTTCGATGTGTTAAGGGCATTATTGTGCGATTTATCAACGATAACTCATTACGACTCCTAAGCCAAAAATTGTTGCTCATTAAACAGCATTTATCATAAGCCCGTGTTCGATAATAAACGGAAATTTGTTTTCCCGTTGGAAGTACCTTTACCGGACCGGTCTTCTCAACAGAACTACACTGATACTATTTGACATATGGAATTAAAACATACTTAGCCACAATGTACTCTCACAACATCACTTTGATTTCAAATTAAGAGTAAATAATGAAAACAACTGTTGTCCTAAGTTTGATAGTATAAAGCAAAATACTACGAAACTAATCAAAGAGTTGGGTACAACGTGCTGACAGAAGTGAGTGAACGAATAATATTCGCTCCACAAGCATGACAGTTGCTCCAACTGCTTAACTTAAATTTAAGGTTCAAATTTGATCTTAAGACACAAAATATAGAACTACATGTTTGCATGGTTTATAGTAATACCGGAACATAGGTGACTGCTCTTGGTAGGTCTTGCTGCGGCTGCCAAACTCTCTGGCTGCTCAGCTCTGATGTAGAGTAGCCACCATTATGCTTGGAAACAGGGTCTGGACTTGAAACTGGAGGACTAGGATTGCCATTAGGAGATCCTTTCAAGCTGCGGCTGTCGTCGACTGCAGAGATTCGGTGCTGTACTTGAGAATGGATAGGACCTTGGTAAATCTGGCTTCCATAGATTGGCCGGCCCGACATCATATCGCTAGCGCGAAACGAGTGCGTGTGTGTCGAGTCGGCGAATATTTGGCGCGAAGATGATACGGAGTGAACAGAACCACCGGTAGAAACATTGGGGTAAATAACTGGATAGCCTGGTGTAACCGAATGATGAAATGGTGAACCACCATTCATTTTCGTATACATTGGATCAGAGGACAAAGCCACTGAATGAGCTATTGTTTGTGGCAATTGATTCGCTGAGAATTTATCAACGGCCATCATTGAAGTCGCGTACGGTGCGCCAAACACCGGCGTTGTTAAGTCCTTCTTCTGCTGTGATTTCTGCTTACGTCGTTTGGGTTTGTACTTGTAGTCGGGATGCTCTTGAATGTGCACGGCTTGTAATCGTTTTGCCTCAGCTATGAAAGGTTCCTTCTCTTCTGGTGTTAGCATTTTCCACTCTGCTCCTAACCTCTTGCTAATCTCAGAATTGTGCATTCTTGGGTCTCGTACGGCGTACTGTTTTCGTTTACCACGACTCCAAACCATAAATGCGTTCATTGGCCTCTTAACATGTCCTTCGTCCGGCTTCCCCATATTTTATAAAGTCTCTAGACTCTATTGAGTCCCGCTAGAAATATTCCAAGAGCAAGACCTTGATGTGTAGTATCTCGCTCGAGCTCCTCTCGCTAGGACGACTCAACTCAAATGGTCACCAAAGGAGCAACCCCGATGTATTATGACCCGGCCGGCACTAAGCTCACACACCTTAAGGCGTGATTATGGCTGATGGGTATAATGATATAATAAGACAATGCTAATATTTCATTTCAATAATAATACCCCAAGTAAACAATAAGTGTTAATTATTTAGCTATGAATTATGCATACCCCCGCTCTCCACCAATCACAGGCCGGTAAAATTTGTCGGTCGCCCTTGTGACAATTCCGCTTTTGCACGTGTGCGAGAAGCGTCAAGAGTTCAAGATCACAAACCGTTTCAACTTTTCCAAGATTTTTCGACAGGGCTTTGCAGGGTGAAATTTTTTCGGCTAGTTAGAAAATATGAGGCGATGATTGTTTTTGAGTTTTTTAGGCGATTATTTGTTTCTTAATTCATGGAAAATTCAAATGAGGGTATTGTTTAGGGAGACTTGCGACACCTGCGTTTTGGCTCGCAGGTGCGTTGATCTGAACGCCCATTGAAATAATGTGTTCCGCTCAATAAGTTTGTACCCATCTGCGGTCTCCGCCATTGTTTGTTCTGCACGTGTTTCATTAATGGTTTACCCTAGTTTCTTCTTGACCATTGTATTATTTCTTTAAAGAGATTTACAAGCCTTTCAGCCTTTTCTCTATTTAATGGACTTGACGGGGTAATTTACATAATGAAACCATCACATTGTTATGGTGGTAAAAATAATCGTTCTGTTCTCTCGTTCGCTGAGGTCAATTGAAGTTTATTGAAAATCCCATAATAAAATATAACCAAAAGAATTGTTGGTCGTGGACCGTTTACAAGTACAATTCTAGAGGCAGAAAAAAGGTTGCAAAACGAACAAAAACATAACAAGATACGATCGAGTTTGGAAAAAAAATTGGAAAAGTTTTTCTGCTCTGTTTGCGGCGTTTCCAATCACAACATAGTTCAATATGTCTCACTTGATTTAGTCGGGGACTCGAAAAGGGTGCATTAACCACGAGAGCTAAGTAATTAGACGTAATTCTCAGATATAAGCCCTCATATTTACATTGCTATTAAAATCTTTGGTTAAGATCGATTTACACCTTAAGATAAACATTTTAGGCTCGAGCTACTGTAAGGTTATTGTGATGATGGTGAGAGCTATTGTCAAAATGAAGAAAATTACCGAAGATTTCTCTTCTTTGCGTGCTTTGTGCTTCTTTCATCTCTCTCCCTGCCTTTCTTCTCTTTCCAAAAATCCCAATTTTCCTTCACTCAGCAGATTCGCTCAAAATATTTTTTCCTACCAATATTGCTCTCTGTGCTTCCGTTATACCAAGAAATAAAATTAAGCGATCGTATCGGACATAAATTAGACGTAGGAGGGAATATCTCAAAATTCTCCCATCTTTGTTTCTAAATTGCCAGGAAAGAAAAAGAAAAAGAAAGAAACAAATCACCAACTGCTAAGTGATTTTTACCATTACCAAGAAGAGGAAAAAATAGAAAAGATGAATTTAGACCAACATTTGTTTTGGATTCTGGTGGATTTCCTCCGATGTTTATTCTTCCAATCAGCGAACAATGAATCGAATTAATCATGTTATTTACGGCGAAGGAGCTAGTCAATTAGAAAAAGAGAGGAAATATAAAAGTGTAAAATCCAAGGTGTAAGTCCGATTGAAAAAACACCAAAAGGCCTTTGATATCCTGTTTCTTTGAGATGCCAATTCCTGGATTTGACGACAGAATCATTTAAACATTTTCAACCCTTTTCAAAAGTGAAAAAAAAAATTTCACTTAAAAATTTCAAGTACAAATCGATATTTATTTAAAATAACGTCAAATTCTTGACTAAAGGACCGAAATAATATTTTTTTATAAATTAGTGAAAATGAATCAAGCGGTGGAAATAAGTATCAGAATATCTCCCCCTATTATWGATGTTTGTATAGATGTTATTTGAAGAGTAATTATAATAGACTTGAAAACTAGTGTCTTCAGTAAAATAATATTAGCACAGTAAAATTTAGCCTACGGACCCCCTCGAATGAAGAAGTCAAAATCTAGATTAATTCCTTGGAATATTATCTTAATCGACGGTTCCAGAGGTTTCTCCTTCGAGCAAGAAGCACCGGTAATAATAGTTTAGCTAACGGTTTTAATACTATTAAATTACATCGAGAATATTTGCCATACTAATATAGGAATTTTCACATCTATTGCAGACAATGCACGCGCGAGAAAGAATACAAGAGTGAGTTGAACTTTAAAAAATAAACGAGCAAAACAATGGACTAGTCATGGTGGTATTATTACGGAATATTTGCTATTTCATATGATCTTTGGATCTGAAGGCATCATGCCATTGCATTTAATTATAAATGAATATTCAAGTTGTGGTGGATGTAATAAATGATTACATCCAAAAACTGCCAGGGAAATTGACGACTGATGAATGAGCAAAAATGAATACCTTGGATTCGAGGGTAGAATTTGAAGTTCACACTTCGATTTGTAGTAGGCACAATGGGATATGAGCAAAATACAATAGCGCTGTCATTGTTTTTTCAAATTTTGGTAGGGGGTAATGCGAAACACTTGAGAAAAGAGAAGCTATCCCATGGCGGGAATCGTATTGGCGCTGAAAAACAACTCGTAGCTAGCAATTGTTAAGGCAACAAGATGAACGCCACAAAAAGGCTGGCAAAAAGAGATTAATCAAAACTGATCATGAAGCGAAGAAAAGTTAAAGGGTAACAATAATAATGAGAAGTAATAGTGAATTTTTGATCGTATTCTTATAAGCTAATGCCTGTGTTCTTTACAAAAGATTTGATTCATAACATATTACTAAAAACATTATTTATAATATGCATTAAAGTTTCTTGTCTGATTATGAAAAAGAAAGGAAGAAATAGAAAATCAAGTCAAAATCTACTAGTCTTGCTCGGAGCTTGAGGGGGATGGAAGTTTGAAAATTTCGCTGGACCTCGAAGCGGAAACATTGTAGCAGTATTTTGTGGCTTAGAACAAACAAAACAACAAAAACTTCGAGTCCTGGCTCAAGTGGGTCTACTAATAAAGTAAGTTAAGCGTGAAATTAGGACAAATGAAGATTTAGCGGTTCGCTCAAAGCTTAGCTTCGCACAAGTTAAAAACACAACATAAAAAAATGCGTTTATGAGACTATAATTTTTAGTTACTCCTCTAAGTAATTCATCAGCTTTCAACGGCCGTTTCACAGGAAATTTTTGAGATACTATCTTATCGGGTATTAAGTCTTGTTCTTAGTTCACCTGGCAAGCCGATTTCTGTCGCATTTTAGTGAAATAGAAAGTGATTGTCTCCGACAGCCTACCCAATCCTATGCTGGTACATTAGAACGATGAAAGATCGAGAGATTATCGTACCTGATAAAACGAATTTGGATGCCTTTTTTCTTCTCGTTTAAGCAACCTATTCAATTTTAGCAACACAGTCGTTTTGAATTTTCAAACATTAGTGCTATACACTTAAAGCCATCGGCTCAGATTTAGTTCAATTTCTATAGAATTCAAAATGTGTACTTTTGGCCTTGTGATCTGAAAAAAAGCTGAAGTCGTTTTCACTTATAAAGTAAAGGTGGATTTAAGCTACGGACCTCTTTAAGCTGCAACACACAGATTTAGAACACTTTTTTCGACTTGCATCAGTAAGCTGGATGGAAAAAAAAAACCACACACACACAGCAGAAATAGGGAATATAGGATTACTTGGTAGAGCGTTTTGGAAATAGATAGAAATGTAATGATATCCCGCGCGAATCTTCCGCTGTTTATCAAAGTTGATTTGAGACAGATACTACCGTGTATGGTACATAGGGAACAATTGTCGACTAGTGAGCTATAGATGGATTATAATCTTGATTTGGTAATGCACCTGTATTAAGACATGTCGTAATTTGTGGGAACGGTAGGGCTAGTAGTCATAACACTGTTCTCTCATTAACGCTTAAGGTAACACAGCCCCCAGAAAGGCTAGGATATCCTTCGAGGGGTGAATGCAAAACTGCATTATTTTCCCGCTAATATAAGAGGAACGAAAGCGGGCCCAATCGTTTAGGTTTTTTTAGTATTTTGTCTTAAGACGTCTATAATCTTGTAGGAATGATCATTTAAAGTTTATTAACACTCTTATAAAGAGAATTTATGAGATAATGGCATATTTTGTTTTATTCATGCAGTAGACGAGACAAGTATCCCTATTTGGTTCGATCTTATACCAGAAAGAATTAGCACGTTTAATTGAGAATTATTTACCACTGGGTGAAACTAGATGTATAAAAATAAATCCTTCTCTAGATCATTGCAATGCCAGTTAAATTCAAAAAATTAATCATTAAAAAAAAAAACATTTTAGTGATACAAAATTGTGACTTGAAAAATGGGGGAAAATATTCTCGATTATTTTTTAAAAAATCTATATATCGTACTTCGAAATAGTAATGAATAGAATTAATACGGTATTTGAGTTTATATTATCGAGAGGTATGAGCAGACAACGTCACTCGTAATTCTTTCATCCCGTTAACATCACACTTCTCTTGAAGACTATGAGCAATTTCCCCTCTTGCCATTTAGAGCCCATTGTGTAAAAACCCTTTGAAAGACAAACATTTGCGGAGCTTTGACAATTTCCCACTAATTTTGGATAGCGGGGACATCAAAGATTTGAAGTGGAAAGTCTTTTTAACTATTGGAGAAAATAAAGGGTCTAGTTATTTTTTATTTGAATAAAAGATTTGTGCATTTAGTAAGCCTAAATGTAAGCCCTCGAATACATTAGCATTGATTCATTTTTCCTTTTTTTTTTTCTTTTTCGCTTTTGGGATAAGTTAGGACAAAAGGTTGAATATTTTATGTTGTTAATTAGGGATAGTTGGGAATTTTTCCGGGTTTTGGGAGACGCTTTACGAGGGGATAAAAGGAAATTGTGCATTGGAAGGAAAAGAAAGTAAAATCAATCAATGAGAAGATTAGACTATAGGTTCTAACACAAACCATCATAACAGGGTTATTCTCTGCTCGTATAATAGA